CATTTTAATCTGAGTGTGTATAATTGTAAACCATATTGTTGTAAATGCTATCTGGATTTCTGACAATACTAAGCTAAACAAAAATAGAATATAGTGAAACCACAACCAAGTCAGGAATCTGCATTACAACTTGATTGGCTTCTCTAGACTGGTGCATGAAATAGATAAATATGCCAACAGAATATTTATTAAAAAAATATACAAATACAAACAAGCATTCACAGCTCTCCAAGTATGACCTAGGAAGACTGCAGTTATCAAGCAGCCAGGAAAGATTCAGCAGCATTAGGGAAGACAAGATCTCATTTTCTAGATGAGATCTCCCAATGTCAATAGTGCCCCTCCTCTTTCCCTCACCATCACACACTTACCATATCACAGGAGTACAGAGTAAAGTCCCCAAATCTGAGCAGAAAGGACCAATCAGCATGATATGCTGAAACCGGAATTCCACAGCTACAGGTATTATGAGTAAATTGGGTTTACCTATCCACAGGGAAACTGCAGAAGCCAACACAACATTCACAAAAAAACTGTTACACTTAATATTTGTTCAAATACAAATTCAGAATATTAACAAGAGTGACTAAGACTCAGTGCATTTCCCTGGCAATAATGACCAGTCAGAGGAGCTCCTGACTGAGAATGATGCATAAGCCCATTAATTTGCACCTGACACTTTATCACCATGCAGTGCCTGAGTTGAGAATACCACCACTTTTGTTGAAGGTGTTAGCAGCAAAAAGTTTAAAATTAATTTCCATAATACATTTGATTGACTGTTAATTTTTACTGTCCACTGTTGCAACGTACTACTGTGGGACTATCTAAAATTGTATATTATACAGTTTGTGAAGGTTCACACATTGTTGGCTGTAGGGCATTCCACAGAATTCCAAAGAAACTACTTTAAGAACTGATACTTTACTATTGGCTCATCAGTAAAGGTAAAGAGAGAAACAAGAAACTAATTGAAATCAAATTTTTACATTAATTATAGTTAAACGTGAGTTTAATGAACAGAGCCAGCCCCTGCTTGGCAAGGCTGGGCTGGACTTTCCAATTATAGCAATTGCCTGGAAAACCAAAGTTCTGGGATATAGCCTCAAAATAATGGTAGCACATTAGCTAAGCAGGCCCCATTAACACAAGCAGGAGTTGCAGCACTAACCCACATCTGAAGAAGTGAGGTTTTTACCCACAAAAGCTTATGCTCAAATAAATCTGTTAGTCTTTAAGGTGCCACCGGACTCCTTGTTGTTTTCACTAACCCACAGAGATTCAAGGTTCTGTTTATTTTCTAAACCCTGAAAAAGCTTTCAAAGTTATGCACAAAGACTTCATTACTTACTTTTATCTTTTGTGCATATTTGTTTCTAAAACATGGAGCAATCTGTTTTTTCCTTACATATGACAACACTTTATTTATGCAGTCCTGGTCATATCAAAAAGCTTAACCCATGAAGCTGCCAATTTCAACTCTTGTTTGTTTGTTGTATGTGTTTTATAAACAAAGAGATTGCATTGCTGTGGCAGGCTATTTTGCCAATTTGTTGCAACACAGAGAAATCTTAAAGCATCCAAACAACAGTAACTATGTTGCTATTGTTTGAAAACGTACAAGTACTTTGGTATTGTGAATAGGAAATTAATGCAATAATCCTTGAACTTCAAAGAAACTTCTGACCATTGCAGAGCGGATTTTGTATTTATACTGCAGGCACTTTTTATAGGTGTGAAGAGACTCTTAGGTGTGCCACACCAGTATGAACGTAAGACAATTCAACAGTAACTGGCCAGTGTAATAATTTATGTAAATAATCATTAATTTTTATACAAAGTCTGCTAGGATGTCCAGAACAGGACAACATAAAGCTGAGTGTTTTAAATATGAATACTGAATCCAGTAACAAAAATTAATTATGGTGTTTGTATCTGAACTGCAGATAGCCTCAACTCCATAAAACAATGCTAAATTCCAACAGACAATTTTTTTCAACTGGTTCCTGAAATACCTCTATAGTCTACAATTTTCATGTCAGAAAATGTCAGAAAAACACTGACAGTTTTCACAGAAGCGTCAATACCATATGTATGTACTGAATTTTATCTAAAAAATAATTCATTTAACTTCAAACAAATTTTCAATGCAATTTTAACATTTTGAAAGGAAGAATAAAGCCAGTGTACATAATAAAACATCCTTTTAAAATAATATAAAACAAGTCATTTTGGCTCACAGCAAAACTAGTCATTGTAAACGAAGTAATAAAAACAGAACAAAGATGCACTTGATAAATGAAATGATAATACAGTCTTCAATCCTGCACTGGGATACACTAGCAGACCTCTATTCCTGTGAGGACTCCCACAGACTGCAGTGGGACTATGCACAAATGCAAGGGTCTCTGATAGCAAGGAGCTGATGTAGGATGGGGCCTTAGTGACTTGATTCCTTTTCATCCTTTTAACATACCTAGTGAGTTTGATTATCCTCCCTGTGCACCTTTTCATGGGCTGCTGAGGTTTGTTTTTTGTTTTGTCGAGGGGGAAGATATTTCCCACTGTTACAGAAAGTAATCTCTAGGATAACAATATTGAAAATCTCAAGCATTCAAAACTCATGAGCGAGGCACCACAAATCAAGATAGTGATTTAAAAATCAAGAGATTAGTTTAAAAAAATTAATTTGGAGTGCTCTTTATTTGCTCTCTAGTTTTGGAGACTTTAGGGTTCTATTAGGTCACGTTTTCAAGCTTTTCTCTGAAACCACAAGAGCAAAATTCTTGGCTTTGATTTTTTTTTTAAAGTGGGATTTTTATATAATCACATGAATCCAGGAGCTAGGGCTTTAATAAAACACCAGATATCATATGACTCACAATAAGTCTGCAAGAGTTGGCAATGCTTGGATAACATTAATGCATACAAACTATACAAAGTACTGCTTTGAACTTTAAAAGCACACACTGCAGCAGAGCTCAAAAGTAACTCAACATACAAAGGAGTGCAAAATTATTCCATACTATATTAATGAAAAGCACCTTGTCATTTAGATGCACAACCCCTCCTCTCAGTCCATATTTTCATTTGGTGTCTGTACTCCTTTGGAGCCAATATCACCTTTTGAAGCGGTCCAAAAGACACCCACATTTAATTATTGAAACATTTATTGCACATCTGCACTATGAGCCATTTGAAGATGTAAACAACAACTAGGAAGTTATATCACTTACTATGTCATTGTTTGGTCCAACATGCAAGGTGTGAGAGTTTTAGTCCCCTTGAATTATTCACTCTTAAAATCTAACAATAATAAAATTCTAACCGACATAATTTAAGATCCTAAAACTGTGCAACAGTCAAATGTGTTGAGAAAAACACCAGTAAAGAGATTGATGTTACACTGAATCCACAGCCAGTTACAGAATGAGAAGAGGTACGCTGTAATGTGTTACTTTAAAAGATATCCATAAATCCTACATAAAATGGCTAGCTATTTACTAATGTGCAGTACCTGAAAACTCCTTGTAAAGATCTCTTGCTGTCTAAACTAAATTGGCAAGTATGTGGTTCAACCTACAATTTTTTTAAAAGGATAAAAATAAGATTATTTAAATTGAGATTACTGTGATAGAGCACCTAATTACAGCACAGTGACCTAAAGTCTCTTTACCCATATTTGGTGCTTTGATAAGATTACAAATACAAAACATGCCTGCTTCACACTCATTTGATCCCTGGGCTCAAATCTGGATAACCTAATGAGTTGTCGGCTATACATAAAAGCAAGTATCTACATTTTAAGTGGATAAAAAAGAGGAGGCCTAGTTATTTGTCTAAGAACACACTCCTGCAATCCACATTTTTCACATTTACAGCAAAAAATACTCCCTATTTGCTAGATTTAAAATGTAGTCAATGGATACAGTATCAAATACCTTTAAATGCATTCCACAATGCCTTCTACCAACAGCCCTAGATCAAATAAAATGGCCAATGCAATTTCCTTGTTTATTTCCAGAAACTGCAAAAGATATTTCAGTTACATCTGCGGTTTATAAAATAAATGCAACTTTCCACATATTTCTGTTTTTAATTCTTCTAGAACATTAGAGGAAATGTCAGGCAGTATAATCTCTCTGCAGATTTGAGTTGAAAAGGGTTAATTTCTGCACCGCAGTCCCCCGGCATGTCCTGTTTGCAACCGGGAGGAGGAGGGAAGGAAAATGTCGCTTTCCCCACTTTGCTGGCTAGGGTAGATTTCAGAGAGATAAGAAGAGAAGATAAGGAAGAGAGTATAACGCTAGGAATGGGGGGGCTCAGCCACCAGGAAGGGGATCCAAAGCAGGTTTTGGAGGGGGAATTTATTTACACTGCAGTGTCTAGCAGCAAACATGGCTGCCTCTGCCCCTTTAAATCCAAGCGGACCTCCTCTATCTCTACCACCACCAAAACATCAAATTATCCCCATGTCTCTCTTTATTGCCCCTACTTCCCACCTACACAACATAAAGACAACCTCCCTCTCCAACAAGAAGAGAATATCACTGCAATAACCAGCTTCCAGTCCTAATGCATGGAATACAGACATATTCTACAGAGAAACAATAGGTTCCCTCTCACCATTTCCCATACCTCCCCCCCCAAAACACCAGCCCCTTCCCCACTACAAATCAGCGTATGTCTCTAAAGACTCATTCATCATCCCCATTTCCCATACTCAAGAACCACCCGAAACCCCATGCAATAACCCCAACCCCGGCGCTTCTCACACACGTCCCAGATCCCCCAACCCATTATTCACCATGTAGAAATACCACCCCAGTCCACCTTACCTTCCAGCCCTCTGTACCACTAGTCCCCTAGACCCTGGCACCCCCATCCCATGTCCCCTAAACCCCACCCCCTCACCCCCATACTTTCCTAACCCCCACCCCTCATCCCCCCGCTCCCACCCGTAGCCCGTCGCTGCCCCACAGCCCCCCGCCCCCGCTCACCGTCAGTCTGTTCCATTCTAACTCCCCCCGCCGTGTCCGACCGAGCCCAGCAGAGACACACAGAGCAGGAGCCGGGCCGGGCTCGGAGCGGGGGGAGAAACAGGACCCCGCAGCAGGCCGCGCTGGATCCCCGGCCTCGATTTCCGCGCCACCGGGTCCCAGTTCCACGGGCTCCGCTCCGGGAGCCGCCCGTGCCCCGGGCAGTGGGGGAGCCGCAGCGCCGCGGGGAGACCAGAGAGAGGCGCTAGGGGGGGCGGCGGCGGGGGAGGGGGGCGCTGGGTCTCTCTGTGTCCCGGTCTCGGGCCGGCCCCGCTCACTCTCCCGCTCCCTCCCCCTCCTCCCCACGCACACAAAACTCGGCTCCACAGGCCGCGGCAGCCACCGCCAAAAGAGACGCGCCCCCATTGGCTGCCGGCTCTGCGCCAGGCGCGAAGCATGCTGGGGACTGTAGTCCTGAACGGACGCGGGCCTCGAGGGAGCCGCGGCTGGGGCACGTTTAATGCAAGGGGGTTGGAAGGCCAGGCATGCCGGAGGCAGGGATCTAGATACACTGCACAAAGCCTACGACCATACACGGTCTCAGAGGGACCTGGATGCAACTGTAATGCACTAGGCTTTAGATACACTGCACAAGGCCGGGAAACATGCACAGAGGATGCTGGACATGTTTAACCAGCATTTTTAATACCACGATGTTTGCATACTCCAGTAATGGGTGCTATAAAAATGGCTAACCAGGCATTGCATTTAAATCTTTCTGTGTCTTCGGAACATACAAATGTTGAGATATATTGGATGCCTATGGTTTTCACTGAAAACCTATTAATAGGGTTCTAAATGCCATATATGTTAGATACAGGGATTTAAGTGGAATTCACTGGATCTTGGAGCATGCAAACACTGCAAGGTGCTGAATACATATTTGATTAAACGATTGTAGATGCAATACTCAAGGTCTGACAACACAGAGACACAGAGCTGGTGGATGCGTGGTTAATCTGTGCATCAAAGCATGTTTCTACAGGAGTATTTCCATGCTACAGTAATGGGCATTATAGAAATGCCTCAGATATAAAGATGGATTTAAATTAAATGCACATGGTCTCATGACATGCAAACACTGAGATATGCTAACACATTTAATCCAATTGGAATTAAATGCTTTGCAAATTGAAGGAATTCACATTTAATTCATAGGTCTGGGAACATGAGGTGCTCTGATACTATTGTTTTCAGTGCAGTATAAAGAGCTAATTAGACGGATGTCCAAGGAGATGTGTTGGCTGCGTTTTAATACAAAAAGATTTAAATACAATGTATCAGGCCTGAAACTACAGAAGCTACAATGGGCAGAGGAGATGGTGGGTACTAATGGTCCAGATCTGTCTTGTATTTAATAAGCAGTGGAAATGTATGCTGGTTATACATTTAGGATAGCACCCACTGCTAGGTACTGAATAGAATGCCATTTTTAATGCAAAAGGTTTAAGTGAAATGTATAGGGCACACACACAAGCACACACTGATAGGTATTGATGCATTTTGTTGCCAATCTTGAACATGCAACTCTATTGGAATGGGGAGGGGGGCAACTGTTAGGTGCTCAGATTGGCCAAGCTGTGCAATTCATTTGCATGTTTGTTATGCAACCGGCGTAGCATTGGCTGAGATGTGCTGGATGCATTTAATTACTGATGTATTGCATAAGGCCTGGGAAAAAGAAAATTCTGCTGGAGCGATTACAGGGTCTCTCCCTTGGAATCTAGTTTTAGCTGCTGAGGTTTGGCATCTAGGTTAAATGAATAGAGAGCGAGAATGCTGTCATATGCAATAGTTTCTAGTCTCATTTTGGCTGAAAATATATGCATTAAAATGTTTGCAATTAATTCCCTTCCTCCACAAATCCAAACTGACTTCTGTTCAAAGAAAATACAAAACTGATCCACTCGTAATAAATCTCTATCCTGCAACTAACAAATTTAAGTTTCACCTCACAGGCCAAAAAAAAAAAAAAAAAGAGGGGGGGGGGCATGGAAAGCAAGAAAACCATCTGAGAGAATGAGAAAGATACAAGATGGAAAGGTAATGCAATGCCTGTTACCAGAAAAATCAGACAGTGAAGCAAGATGAATGAACTGGAAAAAGAGACACATGATCTAACATGAAAGAGGAAACTGAAGTGATGTGGGTTTTACGAGTCACTGAACAAAGGCTGAGTAATGGTCTCAAAATTGACTGCATTTCCTATTGCCCAAAGGCTGCAGGCTCCAGCCCACAAAAATGAGTTCTCAAGTCTAGGCTTTTGGAAAAAAATACACAGTAATAAGGCACGTTTACAAATGATTCTCCTCCTACCTAATACAATCAGCCATCAAAAATGGAGTTGACCTAGAAAAGACTTCCTTCCTCCCCTTCCCTTCTGTAAATTCTGCAGCACTAGGTTGATGGACTCACAGCTGAATTAGTCAGTGAAAAGGATGAGAATTTACTCTTTTTTTTTTTTTTAATTTAGTACTAAGTGCTTTTTAGGCAACTAACCAGCACACTTACAGGAAATCTTGTTTTCCTCTATCTCCTAATACAGTGTTTTCTTATTGTTGTTGATATGCTTGCATTAATCCAGAAAAGGCCTTTAACACCATTTGTTGTTCAGGAAAATGCTTACAGAGCAAGGGACTGAAATCCAGACCAGGTAAGCACATTTACAGAAACGTACCTGTTTTTCTCCATAGGCAAGATTGTCTACTGAGTAGTTTGTGTTGTGAGGCAGTATTGTCTAGTGGTTAGAACAGGTGACTAGCAGATAGGATTCCTAGTTTCTGTAACTCTCTCTGCCAGTGACTTTCTATTGGTTCTTGGGCAAATCACTTTGCCTCTCTATAAAATGCAGATAATATAGGCCTAACTCACAGGGGAACTGTGAGACTTAATGTTGTAACATACTTGAACTCCACTGATGAAGGTGCTGTAGCATCACATCTTTATTCTTCATAGAAGTACAGTGGATTGTAAGGATTATTTAATATTTGTACAGTATTGCCTAGAGGCATAAAGCTTGATGCGCCACTGTGCTAGTCACTGGACAAATTTATAGCAAATAACAGTCCCTGTCCCACATGGGATTCTTGTTACCTTTTAGTTCTTACAGGAAGGAATGACACAGCCAAGGCTGTGAATCTTTCAGTGCTATGGGGACTCTGAACAACAGGCTGGAAACTCAGAACATTGGTGGACTAGTCAGTCCTTAAATGGGCACAACCAATCCAAATATAAGAGTCTTACTTAGCATTGCTGATTCTTTTCTATTCTTGTGGTGGCTCCATATACTGGACTGAAAGGGGCTTTCCTTTCCAGTCAATCCCTGAAGAACTGCAAGGACCTAAAAATTACAGCCCACCGGCTGGGTGACCAAGCAAGCAAAGCCATATTGCTGGGTTTGTTGGGACAGATGTGCTCCTGCAATCCAAAGGCTGTATTTAGATTTTTTTAAACGACCTGATAATTGTAACTAACAATATCTGCATCTTAGCATACAGAGCAGAGCAAATTTCTGCTCTCAGGGCCTGATCTGAAGTCCCATTAAGTAAATGGAAAATTCACATTGATTTAAATGGGCTTTGGTTCAGGCTCTCAGATTTTTAAGACCAGTTTCCACTGATTTCAGCTACACATGCATGTCTGAGGACAGACTTTGTCCTTAGATAGGAGTAGTGAAATCATGAAGGAATTCATGCACATATCCACCCACAACTCCATACTGAAAACCCTGTGCAATGAAAGGCATGATGGGTGTTTTCACTTCTCTGAACCTTCAGAGCTAGTATAGCAGATTAAAATCCACTATTCTGATGGTGTAACGAACAAGGGACGCCTATTTGATCACTTCAGAGTGAAAGATTATTTATGTTTGGCTGCTCAGTCAGTCTCAGTATCATATTGTTGTTGTACTTTGTACAATAACTATTGTACATTAATTCAGCAGAATATCTCTTCCAGCAAAAACACCTTCCTCTATGTGAGACAAGAAGAATGCTTAGTCACTTCCTTCTTTATTCCATCAAGATTTGTTCTACTACAAAAGGTTTTAATGTAAAGCTTTAGTATTAAAAGGCCTATTCCAACATAATGCTTCAAGAATTTTTGTGGGGAGAGGAGTAAGATATGGATCGATATTTTTTAATCTAAGATGTCTGGAGAACTGGCCTTCGCAGGCATGTCTTTACCAGTTGAGAGAATAAACACAGACATAAAGAGACCTCTAGTGGCTAAACTAAGGTACTTTCTTCTTACCTCTATTTTTTAAACCATTTGTTTGGACACTAGCTGGTAAATTTGTTTAGTGGATTAATAGCAGTTTGCATTTCAGATTATGTTCTAATATTTACTACGTCATCCTTATAAATGCAGAATAGATTCAGAGTAACCTTCCTAGTTCTGTCATCTGCTAAGGAGGAGATTCTCTCCAAATGCCTCCTTGATTTATAGAATTTGGGGAGCCCTTAAAATTTGTCTTGAGATACCTTTGATTCCTGACACCACACAAACTTATTTTGGGGGATAAAACCTAAAAGAACGTCTATTTTTAATGTATATTTTTTCTTCTCACACCCTCCCTTCATGTAATTTATAATGTGCTATATGTAGATATCAAGTGCAATAATTTAAACATAGATCCTTCAAATATAGGCAACACATTGCTATATAAAATTAAAGAAAACTGTATGATGCTTTTGGTGCTTTGTTAAACACTAAAAAATAAATCGTTGGTCCCCATTACCTTTTCACCTCTGAAAATCCTGCACATGGACCAGGTCATAGAAATGAAAAACATTTTGTACTGAATTTAACATTTAGCTGAATTAAACATTTTAAATGTCAGCATTAATTTGCTTGACATGCTTTTTCTCACCTTTAAAGCAATGATTTTGAAAACTTTAAGCCAAGACTTTGTAGGATCCAGCAACAGCCAGCATAGTACAGAAAAATCACTTCCTCCCAGGACTTTGTCTTCATACATGTCTGTAAAGCTCATCTCTCACACACTTGGCACTATGTAAATAAGTCAACATAACAATAGGTAAAGAGATGCACACACAGAAGTTCCTCTGTTTTAATGCTTGTTCAACAGAGGGAGATACTTTTTAAGAGGAAGCTCCTGAATGAATGAGTTAATGTTTGTAAGGCACCTTGAAAACATAATGGTCAAAAATAATAACAGTAATAATAAATAACAAAGTTGAGCAGAAAACAAAAGTTCAACATTTTTTTCCTGTTTTTCACAGAAATTTTGTTTTGATGGAAACTTCCTAGGCTACTCTAACCATGACTATTACATGCAGCCTGTGGAGTTTTCATGAGCACATATAAATGGGAACTTGCTCATACTAATCTTGAGAGGTGGGAGGGTGTGCCTAGGCACATTTCTTGAGGGCTTTTGCAAATGTGTAGGATTTGGGGGTAAGGTAGTTTGTGTTTCTAGATCATAAGAAAGATGGGGACTTTTGTGCTCATTTTGTGGCATAGGGGCATGCAGAGGGTCAGGGAATGGAATGGGGGCGGGTAGGGGGAGAGGGTAAGGGGAAACAGACTGGTATAGCAGAGGGCCCTGTAGAGCAGACAACAAGGAGGGGGCAGCAGTGAGTAGGTGGTCCAGCAGGGTTCAAGACAGGCATAGACTCATAGATTTTGAGGCCAGAAGGGACCATTGTGATCATCTAAGTCTGACCTCTGCACATTGAAGGCCACAGGATGTCACCCACCCACTCCTGTATTAAACTCCTAACCTCTGGCTGAGATACTGAAGTCCTTGAATCTTGATTTAAAGACTTCAAGTTACAGAGAATCCACCTTTTACTCTAGTTCAAACCACCGTGTGAGATGGGCCCCATGCTGCAGAGGAAAAACCCCCATTGTCTCTGCCAATCTGACCCAGGGGAAAATCCCTTCCCGACCCCCAAGAGGGCGATCACTTGGACCATGAGTACGTGGGCGAGACTCACCAGCCACACCCCTGGGAATGAATTCTCTGCAGTCCAGTGGGGCTGTGGCAGCCGAGGCCTCTCCCCAGCAGTCAGGGGCGGAGAGCAGGGAAGGAGCACAGTGCAATGGGCTCCAGCACCTGTCAGAGCCAGAGATCTCGGGGGGCCCTGGGGCCCCTGCAGCTTGAAGAAGTGTAACCAAAACCTAGCCCCTGTCATAGCCCTGTGAGTGATGTCACACCTGTCTCCACGGTAACAAGCAGTGGCGTCATCCTGACATCACACAGCATCCCCAAGGAAAAGGCAGAGCCTGGAGCCCACCAGCAGCAGGCCCAGGGTCAATGGGACGGGAGGGACAGTTCGGAGGAAGGGGAGGGCACATCCGGTCAGGCCCCGCCCCCACTCCGAGCTGTACGCGCCCATTGGCTGGCTCACGACCGGCCCCCTCCTGAGTCCTGCGCTAGCGTTGGCTACCTCCGAAGGGGGGGGGGGCCGGCTGGGGAATGGAGCCATCGAGCGAGGGAGTAGAGCGTCCGTCTGCTTCCGGCCGCGGGGGGTGATGGGAAGGGCCTGGGCGGACTGAGGCAGCTGGAGGGGGGGCGGAGCGGGGCCCTGAGAAGGAGGTGAGTGGGCCTGGTAGCCACGGGGGGCTTCGGCCCACGGCTCCCCTAGACCGCCCCCCCGCCAGCCGTTCGGCCCTAGCTCCCTGCGGTCACCTCCGAGCCCGTCATAGGGCTGGGCCCCCTCCCCCCCTCAGGGGCACCCCCCGGCACTGGGGTCCCTCAGGCCGGGGCCCCTCGCTGCGCCTGCCAGGGGAGCCAGCCGGGCCAGGCCGCGGGGAGGGGGGCTACAAAACAGGAGGGGCCGGACTCCTGGGTTCAGCTCCCAGCCGTGGGGGAGCCGAGCCGGAGGTGGAGGGGGGGGGATAGAGCAAAGGGATGGGAAGCAGAAGCGAGACTTCTGGGTTCTTTTCCCTGGTTCTGTCAATGAGGCCGTTTAGACAAGTCACTTCTTGGTGTATAAGATGGGAATCATACTTGTGCTTTGGGATCCTCCCGGGAAAGGTACAAAATGTAGAGCTAAAGGGTTTTGAAGTTTGCTGTGCTGAATACCTGCTCTGCTATGCCTCTGCCAGGGGAAGCTCACTCACCACTCCTGTACTTCTGGGAAAGCAGTGAGTGAGCTGTCCAGCAGTGTGCATGTTAGTGAGGTGCTGTCAGATTACACTTTCACACTGCACCTTGCTATGGTGACAGCATAGAATGGAAGTAGTCTGTTTAATTCAGTGAAAAGTCTGATCTGCTATGTCTTGTCCAGGGCCAGCTGAAGATTACAGAAAGCACTGATATCTTTTCCCACATCTTTGGAGTAGTGGGAGGATATGGGTATATCTACCATGAATAGAAGGCAATTGTCATCAGTCTTAGCACTGCTCAAATAGTTTAACTTTAGATTCACTCAAACTCTTTCCATGTAAATATTGTTGTTCATCTGCTCTTTTGTATCAGAACATACAACAGATAATTCCAAGGCAACATGGCTTTCTACAGCTGTAACATAGTCCTTGCAATAGCCAGGTCAAGGTAAGAAACAAAGGCTTATTTTTAAATTTTATTTTACTGGTTAAGATTCTTGTTTTGTTCTAGTACTTTTGCATCTTTAGTTCTCTGAAGTATATTCAAATGGTAGCCACTTCTGTGTAAAACATCCCAATAAAGCTTTGTCTAATAAGGGCCTGATAAAACTGTTGCCATAGTGATAGTTAATTTCTTCAGGTGACTGATGCTTTGTTTTATGGGCATGGTAAGAAGCGTATGCAGCAATTAACTTTTAGTTCAAAACTGGCTTGCTGTTGTAAATGAGGCTATATGAGGTGAAACCAAATGTTTAATCTTAGTTTGAGAGAGAGTTCAGTCTCTTTATATTCCAAGTACGGAATTGATTTTGTGGTTGGTTAAATGTCAGAATGAAATGGAGGGATTTGATTAGAAAGGCTCTGGTAGTTGTCATAGTACATACTAATGTGAAAAGTCTTATTCCTGTTATCCAAGATAAGATTAAAAATCATAATGTAAAACCTCCTTCCCTGGTGTTTTTAACATGCTGTGCCTCTTTGTGAAACCAGGGGCATCCCACTGGGGCTATAGATAAAATAAGAGAGTATGAGGACCATTCCAGGAAGTAGCCTGGCTGTGGTGGTGTGATGGGGATAAGGGTTTTGTTTTGTTTTTTTCCCTTGGGCTGTGATTGGGTAAAATTCTTCTGTCATAACCATTAGTAGAATGGTGGCTTATAAGAAATGGGCTGAAATACTGAGTTGCTCCTTCTAGAGGACAGCTCATCAGCTAAAATAATGCAAAAACTTTAAGTGTTTCATCCCCTAGCTAAAATCTGCTCCCACAAACTGGGCAAGTCTTTAAGAAGATTCTGTGTGATGAATTTGAAGCTAAGAACATAAATTCAAATGAAATGGTTAACTTTGGTAATTAACTACAGCAGAGAATTACATGCTTAAAGTAACTAGCTTCTCTTCAAAAACAACAAGCTTCTCTTCAGTTTCAGAGGCCCTCATCATCTTGTGCACTCCAGCTGTTCTCCATATTCCTCATCAGTTGCATTTGTCCAACTAGTGGATTCTCATTTAAACCGAATTTACATGAAAGACTCTGAAAACCAGCAGTTACTGTACTGCACACAGCTGGCCCCTGGACTATCTCACCTACGAACTAAAGCAGTGCGAACACTGCACACCTCTGCTTACTGGCATCGAGAACTCCAAGATAAATCTCAGCTGCACCAAAGGACAATAAACCAGGACACTGAGCATACTAAAACTCTGTCAGACCAAAGCACAGAGAGTGGTGTGGGGAAAAAGTCTTTACGCCAAAGAATTGTAGATGAACTGAAACATTATTACAATGGATTCCACTTGCTTTGGATTGACACAAAGGTCGCTGCCAGGATGGTATGGAGGCTGCTACATGGTCAGGTTCTCACTAGAAGAGAGAGGCGAAGGGTGAGTATGAACTACCTTGCACAGACACATTGGCTCTAATTTGCTAAGCTGATGTGTTGAAAATCTTAAGGTAACCAAAGAAACTGGTCGGTTCGGTTTCCAAACTTTGAATAGAGGTCAAATATGGACACCTGTTTAAACCTTTCATGTGAATTTAATGCCTGTAAAAGGGTAATGGCTAAACAGCCCAGGAGACTGAAATCCTCTGTTCATTTTCCATAGCTAGTATAACACAAGCAGTGGCAACACAGGCCCCCTAGGTTCTGCCAAGGACACTCATCCCCATCCTGGGGTGGACTTCTCTGAAATGAGAGGCACATTCAATCTCTGTGGCCCATCAATTTCTGCAAGACTTTGGACAAGGGGGTGCTGTGGTACTTTAAAAGTGCCCACAGTAGTTGTTCAAAGTACACAAATGCAGTCTTAAAAGCACTATTAATTCCTCTGATACAGAGGCCATGTGATAAGTCCTAAATTTAGATACCATGCTGATAATCACCTGGGTTATCTAAATGAATGGTAATATTTGCACTAAGATCGCTTGTAGAAAGCCTTCATTAATTGGGCCCAATAGGTTTTCTTTTGTGCCTGTCAAATGAAAAATAACTCCTTCTTCTATGCCTTTCTGCAGCTACTGAGGACGTGTGCTGATCTCTTCCGGCTGGTTCCCTTCTTGGTGTTCATCATTGTGCCCTTCATGGAATTCCTGTTACCTGTATTTCTGAAACTCTTTCCTGAAATGTTGCCCTCAACTTTTGAGACGGAATCAAAAAAGGTTTGTGTACCGGGCTGTTGAGAATGCAGACTGCTTCAATAATTCAGACTCCATTAACTAGGATTGTGGATGGTAACTCTAGAAGTATATTGGGATATCAACTAGCCTGAGCTATACTGCTAGAAGCTGACCAAACTGCATGCCATGATGAATTGTTCTTCAGTACTCATCATGGAGTAGTGAGGCTAAGCAGGTGTAGGAAGATTGGTCTAATCAGTGGATAGAGCACTCAGGAGACCTGGGTTCAGTTCCTTGCTCAGACTTCTTCTATGACCTTGTCCAAGTCACTTAATCTACCCTGTCTCTGTTTTTACTTTTTCTTTCTTTCTTTTTTTTTTTTTTTTTTTTTTTTAAAATGTTTTTATTCTGTGAGGATAAAATCCATGAATGATTGTGAGGCACTCAGATATTCTAATGATTGATTAGGGTCAGGTAAGTGGATAGAAGGGGTCTGCAGCAAGGTTACTTGATAACTGATTGAAGACAGGAGTAGTACAAGAGAACTGAAGGGTTTAACAAGTATTGTGCCCAGAATGGGGTGTCTTTATCTCTCTTTCCTGTCTCCCCTCCCCTCTCCCAATTTCTCTTTCTTCCGTCCTTAATAGTTTGGAGGGTTCCCCCCGCCCCACTCCAGTTCAGAGTAATGTTTCAGACTAAATGATCAGCCCTGAAATAGAACCCTTAACTATGTTTGGTTAGATGGCCACAGAAAATGAAGGGTCTGCATAGGATCATTTTAATCAGGTGCCCCTTATCACTCAAAGGCAGAGCCAGTAGATCAAACGTGCTGAGAGTGTGAAGGCAGGAGTTAAATACTGTTAGGTTTTCACTTAACCAAAATGTTGATAGAGCCTTAAGAAAGGAGGAGATTAACTTGGGCCAAAATGCTAGTGTCACATGTGTGGACAGTTTCCATTGACTTTCATGGGGATTTCCCATACTTCCAAAGGCAGAAATTTGTCCTTTACTCTTCAACCAAAACCACTTGAAACCATAAAGGCTAGTTCTGCATGGCACATTAGCTCTATCAACTTCCCAGCCCTCGTCAATATCATACAACTGGGGTATTCTCTGCCCACTACTAGCTCACTTCTTTTGCAGCTGATAATATCTGAAATCTGGGTCACATTTCTTGCTGTAGTGTCTGATACTAACTAATCAAAACGTCTGTTACCACATGGGCAACTGTTGATTAGCACCCACAAATGTAAATCAGTTCAGCCTTGCCTCTCTGTGCAACTGGGTCCAACACTCTTACTCAAAGTGGACTCACACATGCAGAGCTACAGCAGAGTCTGACGATTGCTCTCCTATTGATCAGTCAGTACATGGCATGCAGAGTGACCTTGTTCACTCTTTATACTTAGTGGCTCCAACCAGAACAAAGCAGACTTTAAAAGAGGGATGCAAACCTATATATATCACCTTTTTGTTTTTTTTCCTCTCTTCACTGATCCATGTTTTGTTTCTCTTATCAAAATCATTTTCCTAGCAATTAGTGAGGCAGAGTGACTGGCAGAATGGGGTTCACGTTACCAGGTTTTGCTGAAATTTCAGCACTACTGGTTTATGTGCAAATTGTCCCCTGTCCGTGTGGTCCAGTGCGGTGTGCTTCCTACAATTATGATCAAGCCAATATTAGAGATACTTTAATGGCCTAGTAAATACACTCTTCTAACCTCAAACCGTGTGGATTTAAAGCACTGTTTGGATGCAAAAGAAAGTTACAGTAACAATGACACAATCTTTGTTATAACTGAGCTTATTAATATTAACTATAGGATTCTTGGAGGTTTATCATCAGGTTATCCTAGCTCAAAATCTAGGCTTACTCTTGTTTTCACGCACAATATAACAGAACTTATATTTCAATGAAGAATATTCAGTAAAAAAACTTGTATTTACAGCATCTGTCTAGTAAGTGGAATTGAAACTGATGCATGTACTTTAGTTATCCAAGCCAAAGCGCCAAGAGTAGTCAGCGGCAATGATGAAAAGTAAGTTAGGTTTTGAGAGGTGCAGGGGTAATTAACCAAAGGCCTGCGGTAACAAAAGGAAGGAAATTTATCCCAACTTTCTCTTTCCTGGAGTTCAATCTGAGCCTCTAACTACTTTTTGTTTCCTAAATTAAGGAAGAAAAACAGAAAAAGAAACTAAGCGCCACGTTAGAGCTTGCAAAATTCCTGCAGGAGACTATTACCGAGATGGCCAAAAGGAATAAAGCAAATACGGGAGAGGCCACCAAGCAGTTCTCTTCCTATGTGCAACAGGTACAGCAAATAGTAAAATAAGCTGGAGGGGCTAGGAAAGGTATCTGCAGTCCTGTGTAGCAGGGCGGCACATTGGGTAGATACAACTTTGAATGGTCTTGTGCCGGGAGATGAGGAAGTATGGGATTTGTATGACACAAATCTGCAAAACAAGCTTGCAAACTAGATTAACCGATTATATTCTCACGCACCTTCCTGTATGTGTGAAATGTTTTGTAACCTGTACAGAAACAATCATAATATTGCTGTTAAACCATTCTGTGAACTGTAACTGCACTGGCAAACTTATCTGACAAGCCCAGGATTAGAGAAGCTGCAATTCCTTGATTGCAAGTTTCAGTGGGTGGCGATGGTCTGTTTGTTTTAAAACAAATGGTAAATGGAGAAAGAAAGTTGTTCCTGTCCATCTATCTGTAAGAAAGATGCAGCTGTTGTGCTCACTGTTGAAACTTGAAAGCTGGCAGAGTCTTGCTACCAGGCATGTATAAATGCTGAGGGATATTGGTAAACTGATTGCCTTTTCGTGGCCATTGCCTTGGGAACCTGTGTCCCCCACTGCCTTGGGGAACCTGTGTCCAGATAAGTTACTGTTTTATCTTAATTCTAATTTTAACCAGCAGAAAAACTCTTTACATAGTGAAGTTCTTCAGGTGGCCATTCTCAGAGCACATTAGAAATAGTCTTCTAATTTCAGACCCTAGGTTTGAACAATAGCAGTTTAGTGGCCATCAGCAAAAAGCGCTAAAGTGAAATGATTTGGGGGAGTGTTAGAGTGAGGACTGGATTCAGGATGCCTAGTTTCTGTTTCCGGCTCTGCCAGTGGCTTTTGAGGTACATTCCTATCTGACGCCTTGGCTTTGTTGCGCAGGTTCGTCATGCTGGCCACCAGCCCAGCACCCAGGAGATCGTGCGCTTCTCCAAGCTCTTCGAGGATGAGCTGACTCTTGAACACTTAGAACGGCCACAGCTGGTAGCCCTCTGCAAACTGCTCGAACTACAGCCCATTGGCACCAATAACCTACTCCGCTTCCAGCTTTTGATGCAGCTCAGGTCTATAAAAGCAGATGATGAAGTAAGAGACTAAAACAAATAGCACAGATGCAATGTGATCTGATGGTTAGTACAGGAAACCTGGGTTCTAGTTCTGATTCTGCAAGTCACTTCCTCTCTCTGAGCTGCAGTTTGCCTATCTGATATTCTAGGTATGCTGCTGCCCACATGAACAGGGAGAGGGGTGATGTTACTATTTGTAAGAGGAGGATTATCCCATGAGAGACTCTAAGGAAGTAGAGTGTTGGCAGTTCAGCCCTCCAGTGCCTTCTATCAGCTCTACCAATGAGCACATCTCAGCGGAGACTCTCTTGCTGTTAAGAATGAAGAAGGTGGTCTCCTAGGATCTCAGTAGCCTGTAGCAATGAATGATTGCGGAGCCCCATCTCTTATACTACTTCAATTTTATCATACTTAGTTCTATAGAAACTTTGGGCCATTTCTATTATGTAACTAGCAATCTGAATTCAGAGTGCACTGATGCCAAACTCATTCCTGTCGCTGTCCGAGCTTGAGAGCATGAGAAATGAGGAAATCTGGCACTACCATGAGACTCGAATGAAGGATCTGGAGGCTTTTTGTTAATTAGTTATGTCACAGCATAATTTCTAAGTGGCTCCTGGCTACCTTTGACTTAAGCATATGTAACGATAAGTCCATTTTTACAAATAAAGGCCCAATCCTGAAAATCCTTATGCATGTGAGTTACTTTACCCAGTGAGTGGTTGCATTACAGTTCAGTAGGGCCACACACAAGAGTGCAGTTACTCATGTTTAAGTGTTTGGAGGGTCAGGCCCAAGGTTATCCCTCGCCTTTAGCTATGTTCGGCATGCAGCTAGGCAGTCAGACACGGGATGTCTGCTGAATCCTAGTTTTGGCATCAGTAGGTTTTCCTTTGTTTATTCTCTACTCCCCTCCAATGCAAGCAGGCATCTCTTTGATGGCTCAGTGGTTTGAGCATTGGCCTGCTAAACCCAGGGTTGTGAGTTCAATCCTTGAGGGGGCCACTTAGAGGGATCTGGGGCAAAATCAGTACTTGGTCCTGCTAGTGAAGGCAGGGGGCTGGACTCGATGACCTTTCAGGGTCCCTTCCAGTTCTAAGAGATAGGCATATCTCCATATAATTAAATAATTAATAAACTAGGGTTTGGGCTTCTGGAGGCCTGGATGTGAATGTTCCTTTTCCTTTCAGATGATTGCTAAGGAAGGTGTTAATGGGCTAAGTGTATCCGAACTGCAGAGTGCATGCAGGGCCAGAGGAATGCGATCACTGGGTCTCACAGAGGAACAGCTGAAAGAACAACTCAATCAGGCAAGTAGGGCCTTGCCTGCTTCTAAAGTCTTGGAACATTGCAGCCAGAGTTTATATTTTACTTAAAGGGACCATGTTAGATGTTCAGTCTTCAAATAAACTGGTTTTGACAGATGGTTGCCCTGAAGATTCATGCCACTGCTTTGTTATTGATCCTCATTTGCATAACTGAACTGTAAAACACAAAACATACCACTTATGGCTAAGGCCCAGCTGAAAAAGATGGTGGCTGATGAGTGCCAAGTGCAAATACCTGTCAGGAACAGGACACAGGAACCCAGGGGATTAGTTAAACCACTAGAGCAGCAAAGGCCTTGCCTATTTAAAAGAGGGCAGTGCTGGAATGGGGCAGATAATGAGACATTGTAACTTGTCTGTATAGGGATTCACAGATTTCAAGGTGAGCAGGGACCATGTGTGATCTGACCTCCTACAAAACACAGGCCAGAGACTGTCCCCAAAATAATTCCTAGAGCAGATCTCTTAGAAAAATATCTGATCTTGATTTTAAAATTGCCAGTATTGGTGGCATCTATTTACATGTAGCACTCCCCTCCTCCCATCCCTGGGACTCCATATTGGGGCCTTATTCTGCCTGGGGTCAGGGCCACCGTTGCTGCAGGTGCTGTATTTCGGATAAAACTTAAAGTAGAAGCTTGAACACTTAATTTTCCTATGGCAGTCTTTCAAAAGTAGGGATGTTAACACCAGTCTTGCAGTCAACTTCTATGTAAGTAACTAGTCTACCCAGGGCCGGCTCTGGCTTTTTTGCCGCCCCAGGCAAAAAAGCCTCCGCC